TCTCTATCTTCTGAATGTGGGCCTTTTTTTACTGGCCAACACTCACCCACGTACAACAAAGTCGGTCTAACCACTCCTTTATAGTATTTACCTTTAAGCGTTGGCGGCATATTCTGTCCGCGCCGTACCTCAGAGGCAAGTCTTCATTTCACCCTCCCGATGAAAGAGTGAAGGTTTAAAATCATTAAATGGTCAGCCTAAATGGTATAGGCTGAGAGAACTGTCTATAGGCCAGATTAGCATGATACAATTAGACTTCTCTAACAATCATCCTCTGTAGGCAGAAAAAATATCTAGAGAAGCGGCACCGTTATAGAGAGGTTTGGCTCTAGCACTAATAGGTGGAGTCTTTTCCCTTATTTTATGTTCTTTCTAGTAAAACTGTACTAAAATGATAGTGTTTTTCTTCGTAAAATTATACTTTATTTTGTTGGATTTCAGTTTTCACTATTGGCAGAAGTAAGTATGTTCTTCCCTGTTTAAATCTGTCTTTGTCTATTCTGATTTTTCTGTGAAGAGAAAATGCTGATCATGTAAAGGCCAAGTTCATCGTAGAAGCAGCAAATCATCCGACTGATCCAGATGCTGATGAGGTACCACTTTTGCAGGTTTCATATCTGTTAGACTAGCATCTATGCTGTGTACTCTTCAAAAATGTTGACGGTGCATGTCAGATCCTCTAAAAGTAGTACATTTTTGGAGAGTCTAAGCAACATAGACTAGGATGATAATAATTTCTAACACATGACTTCCTTCTACAGATTCTGTCGAAGAAAGGTGTTTTAATTCTTCCCGACATATATGCCAATGCTGGAGGCGTGACTGTTAGTTATTTTGAGTGGGTTCAGGTAATATAAAATCTATCTATACATGACATCCTTAAACTTTCCGCTTTATATTACACTAGAAAATACTTGCAGTGTTATTTTGACCATTTACTTAAAATCTCAAATGACATTTCCCTAAGATATCAGAGTATTTAGTCAGACTTCACTATAACAATCATCCTCTGCAATAACTATAACAGCCTAGTTTTCCTTAGAACCGACTTTCGTATTATGTTATATCATATATTCTCTATAACAGTATCTTGCTATAGCAATCACAAAACATCCAGACAAACGACGTTGTTATGTAGAGGTTTGACTATATTTAGTTGGAATTCTCTAATATTTTCGAGTAGTTTTTCCACATATAAGAATATAGTTTAGTAGGTGCCCTTTCAAGTTACAACTACTTTAAAATAGACGATAATCATCAGTTTCATAATTGACGACAACTCTTATTGATCTTTCATCAATCACGGTATTCCTCTGACTTGTACTAATAACACCCTTGTTGCATTAGAATTAGGCGCCCATGTTTTTACCGTTGTCCATGAATCTCTTCCATGTTTCGTTAGATATGTTCTCTTACAATTCTGCATTATCCCTAAAACCATACGGAATACCTTTTCATGTGCAGAACATTCAAGGTTTTATGTGGGAAGAAGAGAAGGTTAACAGGGAGCTTAAGAAATACATGACAAAAGCCTTTGGTAATCTCAAGAGCATGTGTCAAACTCATAGTTGCAATCTTCGTATGGGCGCCTTCACATTGGGGGTGAATCGCGTTGCACGTGCAACACAATTGAGAGGTTGGGAGGCGTAATTATATTCGCCTATGTTGTCTAGAGACGAATAATCTTTTCCGTCCTCAGCTGAATGTTTGAATGATCTTTCTTTTCTTGTAAGAAATGGTCTAATTTTATGAACATGGATGTTGTATATTCACTGGTTTTTCTTCTCATAGCTATTATTGCTACATTTTTAAGCATGTTCAAAACATTAAGGGGACGTTTAATCCTGAGATATCTCACCTTGTTCCATCCAATTTGGTATTATTTTACCTTACCTCTCAGGTAGGATAAATTAGTCTCAGATTATAATTTCGGGATTAATTTGTCCGCGAATCAAACGATCCCTAGTTGAAGCACTATCAAATGCACATAGGATTTGAAGCTTATGATTTTGAAATTTTAGTTCTTTAAGTATGATTTTAGATATTTCATCTATCTTAATTTTTGCATTTTTCTCTTCTCCTGATTCAAACTACGTGAATTTTGATTAAAATTTAAATTTATATTTTTTCCTTATATAAACATAAGTAGAATTGCTTTCTGAATATCTAAATTTTAATTTTGAAATATTAAGTTGTTTTAATTTAAATCAACTTTTAAAAAAATAATACTCAAATTTGACTTTCAAGAAGTGAAAGTGATACATAAATTGAGCGGAAGGAGTAATAATTTGTTTATAATGAATGAATTTTTTAAGACAATACAAAATTTGGACCAAAATTATTGGGTTCGATCAAAACCAACAAAGGTATAGTCTAGTTATGCCCATGATTAACACATGCTTAATCCTCTAGTAATACACACCTATTATTAACCTATATATACCATCAATATAGTTATCATTCTGTAATATCATTCCTATATAACAATATCTTACTACAAAAGTCGAGTTTTTTATTATCAAAGATTGTGGTGAAATATTAAGTGTTCCTTCATCTTTAGTTAAAAGTCGTAGATTCGAACCTCGACAAGAAGTCACCTTTGTTGACCCCCAAAATGCGGATAACGAACCCCGAAAAATAAAAAAATAAACCCAAATTTTTTCACAAACTTTTTTTTACCTATAACCACAATAGCAATCTTTATAGGGACAAAGGACAAATATACCTCCGAACTATCGTAAATGGTATGCAAATACCCTCTGTCATATTTCTGGGACATTGGTGTCCCTACCGTCCAAAAATTAGAGCATATATACCCTTTATACTAACGGACATACACGTGTCATAATCTTATCCATCGACCCGACATTTATTAAATATCGGATCGACGGATAAGATTGCGCCACGTGTCTCTATTTAGTCTTCTGTTAGAGTGAAGGGTATATATGATCTAGTTTTTGGACGGCAGGGGAATCAATGTCCCAAAAGTATGACGAAGGGTATCTGCATACCATTTACGATAGCTCGGGGTATAATTGTCCTTTTTCCTATCTTTATAACATTGCCCTCTTTATAACAACCTCACTCAAATATTAATTATTTTAATTTAACTGTTTCCCACTTTTATTGCAAGTCATTTATTTTCTTAGTAAAAAAAGCAATACTAAATGCCTTATTGTTACAAAGTCACATATATAAATAGTATCTCTAAATTAACAAATAAAAAGTCTAGTATTTTGACCAAATATTTTAAATATTTATACATTGTTGGACAAAAAAAATATTACATTGGTACATACTTTGATAATTAAAAATATTTCCATCTAAAGATTTCTGCATATTTGTAATTTCATTAGACAAAAGTTTCCATCTTAGCTTTCTTTTGAACTTAGATATAATGCTTTTGCCATAATACTTTAAATAATTTTGTTGTTTTTAATAACATTATAAAAATAAGATTTTTTTTCATTTTTTTTTTGTCAGATTTAAATGTCTTACATAAGTTCAGCTTAAATTAAAGTTCTATTAACTACCAACTACAATTTAGTTGAGGAATAATAAGATCATTGGTATCCCATGAATATCCAACTGATTAGATGTTATCAAGAGAGAATGTGCATGTGTCAAGTTTCTATTAGGGGATGTAGCATAAAAATTCACGTAAATTCAATAGTTTTTCTATATATGTGTATGTCCTTATAAAGTTATCAACAATATATAAATTTTGATTGTGAATCCATTAAATTGTATATTGATTATTTTAAATCATTATAAGAATTAATAATTTTCAAATCGTAAATCCACCTCTAATTTTGACATCTCTTTCATCAATTAAACAAAATTCTTTTAAGATAACTTTTTTTTCTCCGTTTGGATATGTTCGTGATGACATGTGTTAGTTTTAGGTCATAATAATTTCATCCAACTACACAAAAGTTAGAGTTTCAATCCAAGTGATGAATGCTATTTGCACCATAAAAAGTGATATTGTGCATAGTGTGTTAAACATATAAGTCAAAAAGATCACACCAAGATTTGTGATGGATGACTGAAATTTCTACGCTCTTAATTAAAATTTTCAAATTAAAATTTTGAAAATGAAAAATATTTTTTCAGTGAGCATATTATCATTGTAATACTATTCGATGCAAATTCAAATTAGTATGCAAAAGAACAATAATAAGAAGAAAAATGTGTGTATGTCTTCCTCCGATCCTTAATCAAAGATTGCACATGTGAATTAATTCGAATCTCAAAAGAGAAAAATATATCGTTAGCGCTGAGCACCTTTCTCTCATAGTCTATATGGTGATAATTCAGTTTAGTAGCCTGACAAATAAGCAAAAGGGCCATCCTAAGAATCAAGATGTATGATGATTTGTTGAAATTTCGTTATAGTTCATCAAATTTTTGAGTTTGAATTTTTAAAATGAAGAATATCTCAATAGCGATTATTTGGCCTTGCAATAAGTCTATTTGGCGCAAATTCAAATTAGTAGCCTAACAAATAAGGTGGCCAGTTAGTGAGATCCACCACCATTCTCCCACTATAGATATATATATCAAAGGATTCTCTACTTAATACTTCATATCCCTTTTTTCATATTTACACATATGTCTTATCCAAAATAGTTTAAAATAAAGAAGTTAAAGTTACATAAATACACACACAATTTTTTTTTACATATATATACCGATAGTATAAACAAATATTATATAATTAGTGCAAGTTATATATATTCTTATTACGATATCTTTCATATCACAATATCAGACCAAATATAAAGAGTTTTCTGTTATTATATATCAATCACTATTTAATGCGATAAGGTAAATATTTTTTAGATCGTTAATATACCTAAAATTAATTAAAATTCAACTATAATATGGGTGGAAGGTGCACCATTAATTAGTCCATTATATATCTCTTCTTGACAAGTGCATGTATAAGGTCCATGGACTTCTTTTAGTGTCACGGGTCCATAAATAAATAAATATCCACTATCCTCATGTACAAATCTTATAAGTCACAATTTTGACCAACAATAACAACAACTACAAAAGAAGAGGATATTAATATTGTTACCATAATAATGCAAAAAAACACTTCTCATTTCATTCTTATGATCATTTTGTTTATCACACCTCATTATCTAGCCTTCAACACCGGTGGCGGAGATGGTGGAAGGGAGATGACCACCTCGGAAACATCTCCATCCCCTAGTGGTGGTGAAAGTGGTGCAACACGTGGACCTAACTGGGATTACAACTGGGGTTGGGGTTCTAGCCCTGGAGGAGGATGGGGTTATGGCTCCGGCTCAAGTAGGTCGCCTAATGGGCTAGGTCGAGGCTGGGGGTTTGGTTTTGGGTCCAGTTCTAGCAATGGATATGGTTATGGTTCTGGTGGTGGTGATAGTAGTGGCTATGATAGCGACCTCGCGCCATCAATTTCAAAGGAGAGAGATAATTGTGGGTAGTTAAATATATTGGATGTGTTCTACTTATGACATGTAATATATATATTTGTTTACATAATATTAATCAAGTATTGTGAACTTTAATGTACGTGTTATAATAGGGTTGATATGTCTAGTATACCGTGAGAATATAGTAAATGACTATAAATGTATAATAATGGAATATATATATATATATGATAAATATAAATGTTTGCAAAACATTTTTGAGTTTTGTATTCTTATATATAAGACATAATAAAGATTATTATTAATTCCAGTGTGTTTGATTATGTTCTTTGTGTTTCTACTGAGAACTTGCAGTATATAATTAAAAATAATTTTAACAACAATTGACTGCTTCACCTATCTATTCTATTATGAGCTGGCCGGCTTAGCCAAGTTTAACTTATATGAACAATGACAATATAAATTATTTCCAACACAATTAAGTTAACCAAAAGTTATTTACATTTAACTTTCCATTAAAATAAAATTTACAATCTTGACTTGTTATTAAAAAAAGAAAAGATACTTGATAATTTTTACGCTATTGATGTATATTAATTATTTAAAAAAATCTATTTAATAAATAACATGATTATATAAATATTCTATAAAGAACTAGTCAGATCCTACTTCATTTATTTCGCCTTTTTACTCTCTCACTTTTTTTTTCTTTTTACTTTTTCAATATTTAACCAATAGTTGAGTTAACACAAAAAAAAAAAACTATAGCTTATCGCGAAAAAAAAACATTAAAAGATGTATAGATCATCGAGCACTACTCGTGTCCCAGACAATTATAATTTCACGAGTTATTATTCATCGTCCTCTATTTCATCGTCCTCGTTAACAAAGGTGTCTCCGGCGCTACGAGCATTGTCTTTAGAAGCTAGTGAATTATTACCAATACATGAACCACTCTCTGATATTTCAAAAAAGGAAAAATCTCATGCAAAATTTGCAGAAAATGCTGTTCATATAATACCTTTTGTGTTATTATTGTGTGGATTTATCCTATGGTTTTTTTCTAATCCAGGTAAATTAATTCTATACATTACTCTAATTTTTTTAATGATTTTTTTGAATTATTAATCAATTAATTAAATAAAATTGTTTGTTATTTTGTAAAATAGATATTGATGCATCAATATTGAAAGGAGAAGGAGTTGCTACAAGAATAGAAGGATTGACCATAGAGGGAGATCTCGATCCTGATGGAACGCATGTTACTAATTTACCCCTAGAATCGAGGAACCGCGATTTGATAAAACAAGGGCAAAGTCGTCAAAAGTCCTATACAGAAAAATGATTTTGTTTTCTTTTCACTTGTGTTTACACTTTTTTTTTTTGGGACAAGTTGTTACTAATTTGATAATCACTTCAAATATGAAAGTTTCATTTTGTCTATGTATTGATGCCTTTGGTAAAAGTTCAAATTTATATGGTGGATCAATGAAGAAATATCAATTACTCCCGTCTCAATTTATGAGGCACTTTCTTCGAGAGTCTTTGAGCATGGTATCTTCAATTTTTTTGAAATAAAATTTATATATTTATAAACTACGTAAAAAGTACTATAAGTCACGATAATTGACAATTCAAAATATTTAAAAGATATATGAAAAATTTACGATCAATGATTGACTTCTTTAAATCTCGAAATCTAAAAAGTATCGCATAAATTGGGACGGAAAGAGTACTATCTTTTAGCTTTTGCTGGTTTAGCCCAATGATTTACAAGGCCGATTCTTTGGAAAAAGTTTTTTGTACACACCCATTTACCTTTATTCATTAAAAAAAATAAAAACTACACATCACAATTTATATGTTGTGTACCTAATGGTAAAGGATAAATGCAATTTCTTGTTCAAATAATTATTCAGAGTTACTAAAGCTCCTCGTAAGAGTTGTTGGAAAAATTGTTATAGGTTGATTAATTGTCCTTTGTTGTTCAAATTGAATTGTTTCAATTTTTCTTATCGTTTGTAATTTTCTAATTGTTCCAAAATCTTATAAGTTGAATTAATCAAATTTATTATTTCTTATTTTATCTTGAGTATCCCTTCAAAAACTTTTCGACTTCGATCGGTTACTACTTTCTGTAGGTAAGAACGAGCTTTTTCGTTCAAGTTTAAGAACGCGATAACTTGACACCAAAGTCTAAAATTAGTTATCCTAAGAGTCATATATAGCACACCTTAATACCTGAAAAACTATAAGTCAGGTTCCTTTGTATCGAATTTCGATGTTTTCATTACTTAGGATCGTCTCGACCATAAATCTACTAAAGCAAACGCTTGAGGCTCAAAGGTTAACAATGAGTTTGTTCCTATCTGTTTTTGGCCAATAGGGCGTGTTACAATCCTTGTTTCCTCACAAGGTTAATTAACAATGAGTTTGTTCGAGTTGGAGATTTCTTTGTCTGTGGCTTAATTCTTTCTTTAGTTTCTCAATCTTCTTCAAATGAGTTTCACACTGATTACAACCTGCACCAGCAGCCTCCTTGAGTTATGTACATTGGTCTGTTGTCGATTATAGAAGTCATCCGCCTTGTGAAAAGATCGATGGAGAAATATAGGAGATAATTAGGAACATGGACTTTTACATATGGTATTTATTGACCTTGGAAGGCCTATGATAAAGTCCCGAGGGAATTCTTCTAGAGACAACTAGAGGCTATAGTGTATTAGTAGCTTATATTAGAGCGCTAGAGGACATGTATGATGGAACCAAAATCCAAGTTAAAATGGTGTGAGGAGACTCAGAGCACATCCCAATTGAAATCGGGTTTCACCAAAGATTCATTAATCTTAGCCTATTTCTATTTATTTTGGTGATGGAAGAATTAACGTGGTATATTCAAAATGCAGTGTCATGGTGTATGTTTGCGGATGACATAATATCTGATGAAACACACATCAAAGTTAATGCAAGGTTGAAGGTGTAGTAGAGACAAACTCTACAGTCTAATGAATTCAGGTTGAGCAGGACTAAACGAAATATTTAGAGTGTAAATTAAGTGATACAATACATGGCAGACGTATAAGTGAGACTTGACACACAGACTATCCCAAGAAAGATAGTTTCAAGTATCTCAGACTTGTAATTCATGCAAATAGGGAATGGATGATGATGTTACACATCATATTGGTGCATCATGGTTGAAGTTGCAGACTTGCAGCTACCCTTCAGAGTCTTATATGGTAAAAAAATGTTATCTAAAATTAGGTATGTTCTACAAAGTGATGGTTAGACCAATTTTATTTTATGGGGTGAAGTTCTAACCAATCAAGAACTCTAATATTCAAAGAATACAAGTCGTGGAAATTAGAATATTGTAATGGATGTGTGGCTATTTTAGCGATTCGGATCAAATAAACACACAATTAAATTGCTCACAAATTATATTTAGAGGATCATTTTGAACTTATCCAAACATAAGGTACCAATTTTATAATTTTCTCATCCACCTTAACAACTATATATGTGGTCCAAATAGTTTGATTCAATTAATTAGTTGGTGCCCATATATATATAAATTAATTAATAATTACTCTACTTCCACACATTTTGATCTCTCTCTTTCACGCGCTGTCAACATTTCTCCTCGGCGATTTCCGGCGACGATCCGATTTTCCGGCGATATCCGGCCGTAGAGAACAGAGACATCCTGGTTCCCTTCGCCTTTGGATCAGTCGACTTCTTCGTTTCGCAAAATCATGAATCCCGAATAGTTAGTTACCCTTCCTTTCTCCTTTGAATTACATTTTTAGCATTTGTTTTTTGTTGATAAAATTGTTTGAATATGTTGATTTATGCCGGATTTGTTGATTGTGCTCTTTAGATCCATGATAGTTTTAAAATTGGGCATTTTTTTTTTATAATTGTGGTGTTCAGGGCATGTTTAATTCTCCGGATTCGGATAATTCTGTCGACCAAGGCTAGAATAGATGGGAATAAACTTGAACCCGAGATACCTTTGAGTGCTAATATTGGTCATTTACTTTGATTCTTATTTGATGATTTACGAGTTTGGTTGTTAACATTTTAGTTTTTAGTTTCTGTCTATTATCCAAATCAATTCGGGAAAGGGGAATAATGTGAGTTCTCTCTGTGCATTGATTTATCTTGCACTTGTGCTTGTTGGCTGTAGTAGGCTGCCCCATGGATTGGATTAGTCCAGGTACATTCAAGTTGGCTAAGACACTACCATAATCAAAAGATAAAAAAGGAACTGTCTTTATCACTTTTTTGACTTAGTCGAGGTGCTCATAGAGAACTTTTGCTGGATTTGATTGATAAGGATTAGATCACCATGGTGTCTGGGGCAACTTACATGGGGTAGCTACCGGGTTCCTCTATCTACCAAGGCTTTAACAGAGATAGGCCGCCACTGCAGATAGGAAGAAATCACCTAGTGTTTTGCCGACACTAGAATTTGAACTGTGACCATATGGTTCTCAACCTACTTCATTTGACCCTTAGGCCACACCCTTGGGTGCAATGTTCACTCATTCTTGCTGGTTACTAGTTTGCACCTTGACCTAAAGATGCCAGAAGGTTTACTGGATGTGACTTGTTTCTTAACAGTTTCCTTCATGAAAATCCATCTGCCTATAAGGTTATTGTTATTTTCAGCTCAAATGGAACTTAACACCATCTCTTCTTATGCTTTCTGCAGTGATTACTTGTTCAAACTTTTGTTAATAGGAGATTCAGGTGTTGGAAAGTCATGTCTTCTCCTGAGATTTGCCGTAAGTATATTCATCCCACTCAATAATGTCTTACTTTTAGTCACTCCTGCATCTGAGTTGAATGTTACTTGCATGATTCTTATAATGGCTGATATAAGCAATGAAACTAGGAAACTGCCCATGTTGATATGTGCTAGTGTATTTAGGAGCAGATATGAAGGTTGCCCCGTGTTGCACAATTAGGTCATGACCATCCTTGTGAATGCCACATTTCTAGTTTATTTGTCTTTTGTTTGATATCGAGGTCTGACCCTTCTGTCAAAACACATTTGGATAAGCTAATAAAAGCTTAAAGCAACAACTGAGAGTTGGGAAATAGAGAAAAGGAAGAAGTTACCAGTTTCAAAAAAAAAAATAGAGAAAAGGAAGAGAGCAATTGCCAGCATTTCTTGGGCTGTGTGGAAAGAATGAAATCATATATGCCTTGAGGATAAATGTACAGTCAATTTTTA